GTTTCCAAAGCGGATTAAGCTAATTCGGAGCAAAAGTGTCCCTGTGTGGAGCTCGTCGGGCGTAGTTAATCGGGAAAAGCTATTCTGGAATATTGTCCTGTGGAGAGGAGCACTAATTATGCATTGTGCGGTGGGTGGGGAAGTATTTCCTGTTATCCTTGGCCAACTGACTTTCCAATTTCACGGTTTTGCAGCAGTGACAGATTTATGTTGCACTTCCCTTAGCTATTTCTCCCAGGCTCCCTATGGGGACGCCGGTGGTTCCTTGCACAGATCTAAGCAGGGAAAGCGAGGTGAGGCAGGCCTCTTCGCCGCAGACGCTGGAGGGAAATGGATGCACCGTTCCCCGCGTCCGTCGGGAACGCTGAGGTGATGGCTTGGTCGTTAAATGGCAGACAACGAGTCACATCACCCGTAGCAACGGCATCAGTGTCGCTTCCCAGATGTAATTGGCATGGAGACGAGCGCATGGGAAGATGCACTGGGGGCGGTGAAACTCACTGTAGGAGGGTGAAACTCACCCCGATGTGTGGGGGGGTCCAGCACAAGACTTGGACCACGTTAGTCGCACTTTAACCCTAGGCCTTGTGGGACCGGAACGGGTCTCGTCTCTTTAACAATGCAGGACATGTCTGTTGTTTTAAAAGCCCGCCCCCACTACAGCAGGATCAAGGAGATAACGGTTAATGTGTATTAACATTCGCTTGGCTTCCAGACCTGCTTGCTCTGTTTTCAGGTTCTTGGCTCCTGAGGGTTGTAGCAGGAAACTCCAGAACCTAGGTACAAACCGGCCGCGGGCGCCTGGGAGAGAGTTAGTGTTGATGGAGGCTGTGGGGGTGGGTACTGCACTTCACAAACGGTATTTAAAGACTCTAAACCCTTATGAGCTGGCGGGGGGGGGAGGGGGTTTATCCCCATCGGAGTGGGGCACTGACGAGCCAAGTGACCTGTCCCTGCTGGCTTGGGGCAGAGCCGGGAAGGGCGCTAGATTGGGAGACCCCGATTCTGTTCCCGGCTGGACCGCTGATTCCTTATGTGACTTGGGCCAAGTCACCCCCTCTGTGCCCCGTGCAAGGCCAGGGAGCGTGACGGTTATTTGTATTACTGTGGTGTCGGCTAGATGCCTAGAAATGATCAAGAAGGCTGCCTAACTGAGAGTAGGGCCCCTTTGCGTAGTGGCTGCATGGACACACCGAGACAGTCCCCCTCCCAGAGACCTCACTGTCCAAACCAGATGAGAGGAAGGGTCTTATCCTGTGCTTTTAACTCTGGTTGCAACCAATAATCCTTCCAGAATCCAGCTCCATCCTCCATCTCCTCTGCTTCCCCGGTGAGGGAAGAAGCCGCATGGTGCAGGAGGAAAACCCCGTAGCCCTTCCACACTAGCAACGGGGCCAGGAGGGAAATACACCCTCCAGGTCTAGTTCAGCTGGCACGCAGGTTGTTTCCCCCCACGTCAGCATTCAAAGACACCCCTTTCTGGTCATTCAGGCCGCCGTCTTGGCCGACCCCAGGAACTGAACTGGGGCCTTGCACGAGGCTACAGGATGAGGTTGGGGTGGGCGCTGAGAGCCAATGAACCAAACTTTAAACCTTGTATATGACGGAAACCACTTCAAGCCAGGGAGTGCGACAGCACCCGTAATTCCAGCACCTGTGGGTGGGCTTTAGAGCCGCGCTGCTGTTAGCATGTTCGCTTGCACCCTGCTAGCAGGAGCCTGTCTCCCTAGGCTGGGAAGCTTACGGCAGGGCACAGATATGCCTACAGCCCGTTTGGGTCACACTTCTGTTTTTTCTCTACAACCAGGAGCGCTGAACTCTGTCTTCTTTTCCCAGAAATCTGAGATTCTCTCGGTCCCGGGACTCCCAGAAAACCAGCAAACATCACCACATTCACTATAAAATGGCGAGAATTAGCCACCCTGCTGACAGTTAAATGCCCTCTCTGCATTTCAGCCTGCTGGGCTGGCCCTCACTTGAGACCGAAACCCTTATTGCCTTAAAATCCTGACCCTTCCTTATTGCAGCCGTTGCTCTGAGCATTTTAGCCGACTCTCTCTTTTTAAATAAATTTATTTTAATGAGGTTTTAATTGTCTGCTTCTCTTTGCCATCTATTTATTTTTAAACAAAGCTCTGAGCTGTGCTCTCTGGGCGACAATTAGCAGCGAGCTGCTTTCTCACTGTGCATGACATTCTCCTGAAAGAGAGA